CAAGTGTGCCTAATATTTAAAATTTTTGGTGATGTAAATCCTATTRTATCTTCCTTTGTTAGTGTACATTTTATTATAAAATGAAACAAAGGTACAKAAATTCATACAAAATCAACCCAAGGATTCGAGAACTGTATAACTGCATAATATTTCAGAATAATAGAGAATTTACTGAATACATGGGTTGAAGAGAAGACAAACTGTTAAGGTCAATGTGGTGCTATCTGTAAGTTTAGTCCTTAGGTTTAGTCCTCTAGAAAACTAGCTTYGAACATTTGACCAAGGGAGAATGTGTGCTCTTGGTAAAAGCAGTTGATCTTGAAGGGACYAGACACAGGTTCAGGTTCATGACAATAAAGTCATGAAAAATCAGATTGAAAGATGGGATGACTACTGGTGCAGTGTATTTAATTTTTTAAGTCTTGAATCATTACAACTTGTAATTGTTAGAGAAACTTTTATGTTTCAAAAGTTTTATTAAAAATAAATTATATAAAAATTAAAAGAGCATATAAGGTAGAAATGCTATTTTGAGTTCCACTCTCTGGAGATAACCACTGTTAAGAATTTTTTGTATATATGCAAGGATATTTTCTGTATATATGCAGGTATTTTCTGTATATATGCAAGGATATCAACATATAATTATCAAATACCATATACTCATTTATGTATACACCTGAATGCATATTATATTTCCTTTTAGAATAGGAATAGTGCGACCCTATTTTTTTTAACACCTGAAATATCTTTCTTTCATAGACCCTTATTACAACACAATTTTTCACTATTCTAATAGTACTCAGTATGGTTTTCTTTTGCATTGTATCTGAAATCCTTTAGTCATAATTTAAAAAAATCCCATTTGCATTTATTGCTATGACATAAATTTGGTCAACTTATTTTGTTACTTTCTTTTTTACTGATTTTTCTGTTTTCTATTTTCTATTGTGTGGTCAGGTTTTCTTTTGTCTATTTCTCCCCTGCTGCTAATTTGTTCTTTTTAGTGGCCTTCCTTCTAATTATATTTACTATGCTCAGATCTCTTTTCTTGACTTACCAATTTAAATGCTAACTCCTGATGCCTGCTTCATAAGGCAAGGAAATCCTCGTGTGATAATGCTGTCTCCTAACCATCCTCCTTATTGGCTTTTGATTTTCATCAGTRATATTACTTTTATACTGTCAGAGTATAAAATATTTAAATTTTTTCTATAATTATTGTTTGCACAGATGTTTAGCCTTAGCATTTACATGTAAATGAATGTATTGCTCACCTCTAGACCTGTCAATCTACAGCCTCATCAGAGTCCTAGTCTGCTTTGCTATACTTAAAACTGAGTAATTTATGAAGAATARAAGTTTACCTTCTTACAGTTCYGGAAACTRAGAAGTCCAACTTTCCAAAAGGACCCTCTCCCCTTTTTTGTTTTCAGTGCTGGAAACCAAGCCCAAATCCTCACCCTCACTAGGCAAGTACTCTGCCACTGAGATACATCCCCAGTCCCCCACATCTTAACCACCACCATACAAATTAAGCTTCAACACACAAATTTTGAGGGATATTCAGACCAGAGTAATTCACGTGAATTCAATTCCTGGTTGCCTACTTTTCATTATTAATTAGTTTTTCAAGATGGGTCAACAGGTATCATACCCACACTCTATTTTTAAGTGTTCAGGAGTATTTTTCTTTGGTCTTTATTCACATTTTGAAGCCAGCATTAATTTGCCTGAATCTAATCTTTCTCCTTGAAAGAATGCCCATGCTTACTACATGCAATAATTTCTAATATTTTCTCTTATAATTAATTTCATTTTCTACCATGTTCAAAATTTAAAGGAAAAAAATACCGCTTAAATGTAGTATTAGATGGTGTGGATATAATGATGTAAGGTCACCAGTAGCTTCAGTTCTTTAAATTCTCTCCAGAAATCTTCTTTATATGGTCTTTGATTTGAGGGAGGAGGTAATCCTGACAAAAGATCAGTCTTCTGCTTAGTGAAGCCTCAAGTTTTATTTTTATGGGTTTGGGGTTATCCCTGCTCCTCTGTCTTTCAAAGCAGATTGATTCTTCTCTCTCCTCCATCTCACCTCCCTAAAGTTTGCTCACCTCCAGTGGGTGCTGAGTGGGTATATGTCTCCCCCAGCCCTGCCCCTTCTTCACTCTGAAGCTGGATGCTCCCAAAGATTTTCCCATAATTCCAGGACTGTACCCACCCCTGCCCTCAGACACTTCTTTTCTAAGTGAAGCAACAGTGGACTGTGGATAAAGAAATGCAAATAGGAGAGTGAAATTCAGAAGTATTATAGAAAAAAGAAACAACAAGTGTTTCCATAGCAGGGGGAGGGGGAAATGTTTAAATAATTCAAAGGTGATGTGCTCTGGAGAATGGGGAAACTAGGAGTACCATGAAATGAAAAAGGTTATATTATCATGGCTGTTTTGAAAAATAGATATTTTAACAGGTTGAGTTCCCAGTGGTGAAGAGACCTCCAAGTGGAAATGACTAGAAACAATTAGAATTCTCACACTGAATTGGGGCGGGGGAGGTCAGAGCTACAGAAACAAAATCGTTTTCTTTGACATTTCTCTCTTGAGAGAGTCTCTTCTGCCTCCATACACCCCCTTTCAGAGATTGCCTTGTCCTCCCCCACATGGAGAGACCCTGATATATGGCATAATAATGATGGTTCAGAGAAATTACTATTTCACCTACTGAGTGATTAATATGAAATTAGTTACTGCAACACTCAATGGTGCAGAGAAGATCGAGGAGGAATTTGGTTTTGTTTTAGAAAGAAAAAAATACAAGATAAAATACTGCTTTGCATACACAGAGTACTTTTCATCTGAGAATCTTGACGCACTCAGCAAGCTTAATTAATGAGAAAACCTCTAAGAAAGAAGGGGGATGAAGTAAGAAACACAGATTCCAGTGTTCTGTTTCTGTAATTTTAGAAAATCAAGCTCGGTATTTTCTTCTTCTGTTAATACACAAGTGTAGCCCCATGCAGCAGCCAGGAGATATTCATCTTGCTGCTGAATGATTTTTCTCGAAGGCATCCCACTTATGAGGGCGTCCCACAGAACCCCACCCCCTAACTTTATTGATGTCCTCCGCTCTATTTGCAATGGAAATCCATCCCTATCATCATAGTGCAGCAAGCTTTCTCTGATAATCRAGTCTGCACTGTCCCTGGAAAGATTATTTTGTTGCAGAATAGAGCAGGTTATCTTCTTTATCAAAAATTATTCAAAACAAACATCCATGAATCTAGGACTAACATGCATCGAAAGGGGACAGGCAAGGCCTCTTAACGGGTACCCTACCGTGTAATCTTCCTTTCATCTTAATTCAAAATCCCWTGGAGATTCAAGTTGCCGTATGCAAAAAAAAATATAAATTCTTCTAATTACTTGTATGTAGGGTACATAGTTGGGCCTACTCAAAAGAGACGTACAAACGTGCGTGCTGGTATTTATTTTCATCTGTTGTGGCTTGAGGAAAGATGCTGTGTTTTTGTTTTTGTTTTTGTTTTTACTTTGCCTCCTCTATCTTTTTTTTTTTCCTTCCATTTTCTTTCTCCTGCCCAATTTCTTTTCTTCTCCCTTCTACTCAAAACAAAACTAAAAATAAAAACAAAATGCTTCCTGTCCAAAAAATACACACATACACACACACACACACACACACACACCCCTTGAAAGATCATGGCTTCTGAAGATTTTGACAACAGATTTGATGTTTGTCCAATGAAATTAGCCGCCATCTACAAAAATAACTGTTTTTGTTTGAAGGGGAGAAAATGCTAAGGAGTTTCAGGTTTTATCCTGTAACTCATCCAGGCCTTTTCTGTATATCCCCAGACATACATAGATCTTTCAGGTCTAGCCCACAGTCTTCTCACGTTCTCTGGGCCTAGGACTTCAGGTTTGTCCCCACCCTTTCTTGAGCATCTTTCTTTAGCCACTTGAGCCTGCATCATCTCTCTCCCTCATCCCAAACACGCTGCTCCTTGTTTGCCCCGTGACAGAAGGTCAACTCTTTCCTAATTAGAGACAAACCCTTCTAGCATCATCGAGATCACCACTGTCTATTAGGATGCCACAGTGGCCTTTCCATTTTGTCATATAACTGGGAATTTAGGAGAGCCAATTTAACACTTTCCAGATTAAATGTCAAATCCTCAAAATTCAGATGGATTTGGAATCCACCTCAGTCTATTTTTCCATTCCATTCCCAGCAGTATACAGTGGCACTGACTAGCAGCAACATTTTGTAATTCCACTGAAGGCTGTGGCGCTGTGGAATTCTGCCAGTAATGGTGTTTAATTCACTTATATGTGCCAATTCATCTCTGTCAGGAGCCTATTAATTTCTTCATTATTTTACTCTGTCCGTAGCCCCTATATAATGAGACACAATGATCCCTATTTGTGTAACCAAAAAACTTGRAGTCTCTTATAAATCACCCTGATCTCACTGCTTTTAGTGACCAGAGTCTGTATTTCTTTTTTATATTTAAATCAATTTTTTTTTTTTTTTTGCAAACTCTTTTTCCCAGAAGAATACATTTTGGAACTCTAGAGCACTAAACAGTGAAGCCATAGAAAAAGAGTTACATTCTGATAGGCTATTATCATCCATCCCTGTCCCAGTGAACTCTTCCAGAATATCCACCAGAGATGCCCTGTTTCCACAAACACTTCCCAAGGGCAAGGAAGGAATGCTATCGGCCCAGTCATCAGTGGGCAAGATGTTGAAATACCTACATCATAGCTATCAGAGTACAGACCCCGTAACAAATAAAGGTCAGAGATATAAAATTAATCTTCTTAGGCTGTCAGCATTTCTGCATGGTGTGATCCTGAGCCAACGAGGAAATGACAGCTGAGTGACTAGCAAGAGTTAATATAGACTTAGGAGAATATTTGTTGTATTATTATAGGAAACTCATATATATATGTCTCTGCTACCTCTTCTACATTTTTCAGGATTGGAGCAAAACATCAGGAGCTGAGGGAAAAGCAGGCCAGAGATCTTGTTGATTATGCTACTAGTGCAGCTGGGTCTGCGCACGATATGGAAGATGATGAAATGGACCCGAATTACGCCAGAGTGAACCACTTTCGGGAACCATGTGCATCGGCAAATGTCTTCAGGTCTCCATCTCCTCCTCGGCCTGGACCCCTGGGTTACCCTCGGGATGGCCGACCACTGTCTCCAGAGAGAGACCACTTAGAGGGTCTCTATGCCAAGGTCAACAAGCCATATCATCCACCAGCTCCAGTTGACAGGTAATGTTACCCAGTGAAAGATGAACGCAGTTCTAATTCAGTAAGTTTCAAATCATCTCTATGGCTAAAGCAGATTAAAAAAAATATATATCCTTCAGTCTCTTAAGACTGAAATGACACAGTGCCACAGACAAGTGCTTCACCTCGACCTACCTGTAAGGTATCCGCCATCTAAAATAAAACAATAACTGGCTCTAAGGTGACATGAATGAACGGTGGTAGAGGAGTTCGTGGTGCAACAGGGAGTCATTTGGGCAGGAATATTGTGACAGAGAACTCATGATGAAAACTTTGAAGGAATATTKTCCTTTCTCCTTGAGCCCTATTGTAAGACTTATTCAAGAAGATGGCATGAGACTTGGAGGTGAGGAGTCAGAGAAGAGAAAATGATGACTCTCAAGTAGGCGTGATTGAAGTGGAGTTATAGATAGATGTGGAGTGGGGGAACAGGAAACTCCGGAATTCCACACTCAAGGAAGATGGGACTCTGTATAGGTATTCACGGATGATCAGAGGTAGACGAGGAAATCATCTTAATGGTAGATGCTGATGAAGTCGAAAAGGATAGGAGGTGACAAGGACAAGATCTTTAGGTTTAGCAGCTAAGGAAAGAGATCATAGGATCATTTGTCAGTACAATCCAAATAGGTAGGGAATAAGAGGATTCCAGCTATACCTCCTGCCAAAAGTGAAACGCCCTGTCTCCCCGAAAGGCTGATCTAAGGGATTTTTGCTCACTGCCTTAGGTGATCCTTGGAATTACATGTGCAAGGAATGGGTTGGTGACCTTCCTCTAGTCTGTCCGTAGCCTTGCAATCTGGAGGCAAGAGGTGATAAGGAAGTGTGGCAGGCATGAGAGCTTTCGGTCTAGATGAAWAAAGACTTGTTTTCTAGATTTCTCAGAGTCCTGACAACCACCCAGTCCCTATTAGTAGCCAGCTTTTGTGTGATGGCATGATGTATCGGGTAGGTTTACCGTTTACATTTCCCCAGCTGGGTGATATTATGCACTTTCAATTAGGTTGGGGAGAGGAAGGGAAATCATGGCATTTTTATGCAGACTGTAAAGTGTAGCTTCACAAGACTGATTACCTTTCAGAGCCTTTCCAATAACCAAGTAGGAAGGAAGGAGTAATTTTTAATCCTTACTGTCAAGTTTCCAGGTTGATAATATTAAAGAAAGATGGTCAAGTTTTTCTTTGGGACAAAATGAAAATATAAATTCCTATGACTGTGTGATATAGCCATAATAACTAAGCTGCTAATTCAGAGGATTGATTAAGAGTTAGCCTTTTTTTTTCTTCCCAGCCTTCAAATAAGGTTGAATTTTATCTTGTAAATAATAATACTGTGTTTCAGTCTATTCTGGCCTAAAGCATAGTCAATCTTCTTCCCTCTAAATCAGATAAGTCGTCATAGCAATCTTCTTTGCATATATCCCCTGCYAGAGTCCCGGTGCAGAGGGACTGTTTCTTGGACCTTCTCAAGCTAGTATTTCCCATTACCAGTTCCATAGAAATAAATACGAGGCATTATGTAAGAAGGGGTTCTGAAGCCAAATACACATGGGGCTTTCTCGTTAGGTCACAGGAATAGGTTTCCTCCTGTGGTCTTCTTAGACTTGATATGCTAACATGCATTTTAGCATTAAGTGGACCAAGCAACAACCAGCATTCATCACACCCCAGATTTTTGTCACCTAAACTTATTTTTTTCTCCTAGATCTGATAGTGATTTTTTTWAAAAGACACTACATGGGACACACTGCCCTAAGCTAAATTTCACCCATGTAGATTTGACCAGAAAAGAAATTTCCTAGGATAATCTCAACTGTAGCCACTAAAGAATAGCATCAAGAAAAAAAAATAAGTTATTTACTGCCCTGCCCAGACATCTCCATGACTAATAGRGTCTTACATTTGGCTCTGACCAGCCCTATATATTAATAAATGAGCTGAAACTGCTTTCAGTCGAGTTTTAGACTGTGGTCATACTTTTGGAAAGCAGATCAAAGGGTGGCTCTTTTTATTCAGAATTAGCTTTATTTGGCTCTTATCTTTAATTATACTTAAAGGCTGTTCTGCTTCTTGTTCTTGAAGTCTTACAGCAAGCAATTTTTGTCTTGGTGCAAAGTCAGCTTTCCATAATGTTATCTGTGATAATGGTTACCATGATTGCTATCATTWTTGTCCTTTAAGAATGAAATTCTGGCCCAGGTGAGCCTAAGAAGAATTCCTTTGGTGTCCCCAGTGGTGGCCATAGATAGCCGCAGGAGTTCTAAACCTCATTTGCAATTAAAGGGAACCATCTTTTACCTACCCATTTGTTCTACCTTTTAGTCAGTATTTATTTGACACCTACTGTGTTGTAGGTGCTGTGGAAAGCTCTAGGGAAGATGCAAGGATGATCAGGACATGGTCCCAATCCAAAGAAGGTCATGTTCTAGTCAGTGGGGGACCAGCACACGTGGAAATGGATAATTGCAATATCAATAGAAAAGGAAGTATTTTTGTCCAACTCTGCCTGGGCTACTCAGGAAAGGCCTCCAAAAGGAGGTGATATTTGAACTGGGTCTGGAAGGGTTTGTAAGTATTSACCAGATGCGTAGGAAAATTGTTCTCCTTTCAGAATAACCAAACATGTATAATGGTAGAGTGGCTGAAGGAAGCGTGCATGTTAGGGAAGCTCAGAAGCCCAGACCACGGGCGGGAAGGAAAGTGGTCGGAAATGAGATGGACAGCAGGTTGGGRCCAGCGTGTGAGTGAATGGGTTGCATCTCATGCTGATACTTATTGACTRGGGGCAGGTGTTGGGGAGTCTGTGTTAAGAAGGGTCCTGAGGTTATGCCAGAATAGTGGTACCTGCCCCAAGCTCCAGAAAAATGAGTGGTGGCRTGTGTGCTGTGAATTTTAATGTATTTCCCAATCCAGTGGATGTGGGAGCTATGAAAGTGTCATAAAAATTGGGGACTGAGCCGTTAGATTTATATTTAGGGAAAATGGCTCTCTCAGCTTGATGGCGTCTAAGAGAAGATGGTCAGACTGTAAAACAAATTGGGATACAATTACAATATGACAATAAGAGATGACAAGGGCCTGGAGTAATAGAGTGGCACCAGAGGCAGGGGAAATAAAAGCAGCCAAAAACCTTAGTTTGAAATTGAGAGAACGATGCTTAGCAGGTACCACCAAGGGAGGCTTTCAAATGCTCCAGAGGGATTGAATGAAGAATAAAAAAGGAATTCTGGATTTGGCCACTAAGAAGTTATCAATTTACTTAAAGTAATTCCAGTAGCTTAGTAGGAGCAGAGGAAGATTGTCATGAGAAGAGAATTGGCTAGAAGATGAGAACTTGGTGAGTCTGTGGTAAAGAGAGAACAGAGTTGTTATAGGATGAATAAGAGTACACCTTTGAAATTCCTTCTGTGTCAGTAGTTTAAAGCTAATATGAGAATACAGAAACCCTCCAGACTAAACTTCTCATGTTATCATTATAGAAACTGAGACCCAGAGAAGCTGAGTGACTTSCTCAAAGTCATACAGCATGGAGTCAGGACTTTATTCTAACTTTTTCTATATTGTACAATTCTTCTTCTCTCTACCCTATACTTCTGTAGAGACCCTCGCTCTCATTTCTTAGTTAAAGAAACTGGCACAATACCCAGAAAGGTAGAATGGTATCCATGTGGGTTCTCAACATGTAAATGGCAGGTTAAACCATGGCTTTGGGAATGAGGGTGACCTAGGCCCAGTCCTCTTCCAGACAACAACTGCRTGACTCCCAGTAAAATAAATTTCCAAGGTATCAGGTCTCATCTTTGTGAAAATAACAAATACATGTGAGTGTCTGGTAAGGGCCAGGACCAGCACTTGGTGCTCATTTCACCAGGGAGCCAGGGTAGACAGGAGCATGGTGGATACGAAGACCTAAACATGCAGGAGGACACTGGGAAAGGGGCAGGGTCAGGTCAGGTAACTGCAGGTGGGGCTGTTGGTGGGGAAGCGGGGGTGGGGGAGCAGTGCGGTGAGCACAGAGRTGTGTTACAGGAACTCAAGGAAGCTCAACCAGACAGACACCTGGTGAGAGGAGCAGATGAAAACAGAGAAGATGGGAGGGTTGGAGAGCTGYACCCAAGGCAGGCAGAGCCTCCCAGCCTTGGGAGGGGCTTACAGCCAGCCCAAGAGAGGCAGGGTGGGGTTGGGTAGCTCCYTCATGGTGTTAGCATGAGAGTAACCCTGGGATTCCAAGGCTGTCACCTCCTGCTCCTCCTCCCCTCCTCTCTGGAAACCAAGGTTTCTCATGAGGCCTCCTGTGCTTCACGTTTTCTTGTCCCTCTATGTAACACACCRTGTTTACCCATGTGGCTCTCACAGGATTGCCTCATGTGTTTGACCTACAGTAGCTTCCTTTAGGGGCAACTTCTATCACCTAGAGCTGCCCCTGAACCATCAGCCTTTCTCAGAAGAAAACCATCAGCTATAAATGATAGTGGTTAGAACAAACCTGYGGCCACCGTGACGGAGACCTGTGGATGTTCTGCAGGGATCTGCACCAGCAGGACAGCACCTGGGGTAATATTGTGCTGGTGTCCCCTGTGAGACCAGCAGGTCGAAGGCTCCCAYGGCATCTGGACATTAAAACTCCACGTGGAAAGAGGGCAGAATAGTCCGAAATAGGAGAACCAGAAGTTGTATGTGGCACTCACTGGGCACCACTGTGGTATCGAGTGTGTTGGTTTTTGTGACTATTTAACACACCTTACTAGAGATTGCCAAGTATGTTTGATCACACACCCTGTATTTAAAAATGATTTGGTGTGTTCACTTCTCAAAAGATGTGTGTTTATYTGTTCCTCAATGATAGAACTTACTTACCCCAATAACATATTATAGAAATTATAAAACATATCCCAAATATAGAATTTAATAAAAGAATTAGATTTTTTAAAATCCCAGCATAAGTAGCTAATATTTCCCCTCAYRCACACACACCCCAATGGA